TAATATAGCTCTAAAAGTGCCTATTATGTGATTCAAACACCTTGTTATCATTAACATTTGTTTACTGGTTTAAATTAATGAAATTATCAGTTCCTATGACTTTAAATTCTTAGAAGAAACACTACATCCTCCTTAATATATTATTTTGAGGGCTAGAAATTAGAAAAGTGACACCCCAAAAATAAAAAACCAGACAGACTTTATTTGCTAAGTGCCACACTTCCTGAAGTAACTAAGGTATGACGTATTTATATTCACTTAAGTCATTCTTTGCATCAAAGCTTGAGTCTTCACGACCCTCACCTATGCCAAAGAATCATATTCAAAATGTACCTTAAATCGGCTCTGCACATGTAGGTGAGCTTGGATTTTCCTGACCCACAGGGTTCCATCAGATACCTGGACAGGAGGACATTAACTCTCACACCCACCACAGGTGCCCGGTCATGATCCACGGAGGTGAGTAAAAGCGCACAGGCTCCCTTAGGTAAATTTGTCCTCCACGTCCTATAGAGACCAAACCAAAGGGGAAACATGAGATTTTCTAGAATCCATTTAACATGTGGTCTCACTATTAGAGGAGGCAGATGTGATGTGCCCCAGCCCTGGGTGAGAGGCATCTCTTGGAACAACTATCCAAGAACTCCTCAATGAGGACATACACAGAGCGGCTCTGTGTCAAGTGTCTCTGAAGAGAATATGAAGTGTGATAAAAATGGATTTTTATATTCAACAAATATATTAGAGCAACACATCCATCCGTTCAAGTGAACACTGCGTAACTGGAAAAGTGCTCGACTTATTCTAATGATGCTACATTTCTGCAAAGATTTTTGACATTCTTTCAGTATCTCCAGAGAATTTATGACTACACTCAGAAATCAATTTTAACCCCATCTCACTTGAGACTCAGATGCTATTTCCTGGCTTATTCGTTTACTAGGTTAGGATACAAATGACCAGAAGTCATCTCTAACAAGAAAATGTGACCTAATTGGGGCAAAAATCTGCTCCTCATGAGCACATGCATTTGTGCTTCTCCCTCTGAGGTCAATTCCAAAAAATGTCAGTCTGTTTTCACCAAGGACCATACTGGAATAAACAATAGTTCTTCCATATTTTTAAAGGATCGACACCTTCCTGGTGGCATACACTATAACTTCTCATCACTGCTGTCAAGTTGGAATCTACTCATAGCTGACCCGCCACTAGGTCTCTGAGTCTATAGATCACACAGGAAGACACTATCCAGAGCTGGGGCGGATTCAAACTGCCAGGGCAGTGAGGCCTGTGGGTTTGCACCACAACCCCCTATGGATGACACAACCAGAGTTCATCACTGATTTTTTTTTCCTTGTAAGATGAGAGTCAATCACTTGCTGGCAAATGACATACTGGCAGTGTTTATGGAGGCTCGTGATCATTGTGAGGTCTCACCTTAGAACAACGTAGTCCCGGGCCGGATGGGGTGCCATACTGTTCTGGACATACTGGTAGATCTCAGTTTGGCTGTCTAGAATTTCAATGACTTTGGCATCCAGTAGGTCTACATCCCAGAGGTGCTGCTCCTTAAGTAGGCGCTTTAAGATCTCCTCAGGTGTTGCGGGGACTTCGATGGTTGACCTCCAAAGCCTTAGAGGGGGTCCTTCACTCACCTGAAGAAGAGGACATGTTTATTAAGGTTAAAAGCAGTCATACACACTTGGAATTCACAGGACAACTGGAGAGATGGTCATGTAGTTGCTACTTGTACCGCCAGCTGCTCTCAAGTCAACTTGAACTCCATGTGTGTCAGAGTAGATCTGGGACCCACTGAGTTTTTATGGCTGTCTTTGCAAAGGCAAATCATCATGTCTTTGTTTCCCAAATGCCTCTGTTGTTTGTTTTTTCTGTGTATCATCAAGTCACAAAAGACACACAGCTGACTAGAAGTTTTTCAAAGGCAATTGACTGCACAGAAGGAAACTGTCCCATGGAGCAGCTGGTGGATCTGAATCACGTGTCTTAAGAGATTCCAGCACAGCTTCTTACCAGTAGGTCACCAGAGTCCATCGCTAGATGGACTCAAACCTCCCACCTTCCGGTTAGCAGCTGAGTACACCATGTAGGGGCTCCGTCCTAGGTATATGTTTACCAAAAAAACCCCTCAAATCAAATTGCCATTAATCAAACCACACTAATAGTGACCTTCCTTAAAGGCTGCAAATCTTAACAGGAAGTAGGCTGCCATCTTCACCTGCACAGCAGCTGGCGGGCTCAAACTGTGGACGCTGTGGTCAACCACTTCATATGTAATGCACTGAGCCACCAGGGCTCCTTAATCATCATGTTTAGAAGCGCATAGTTATCTGTGGCATTCAGAGGCTGCTTTCCCCAAGAACATTTAACATGAGTCAAGAAAGTATTAATAACAGCTGGTGTTATTCTTACCAAAATTATTACATGTGTTTCTCTAGGACCCTTATGAGAGGCAACATAAAAAAGTGAGGTACTTTTCTTATTAGCACCCTTAAGTCTGCATGACCAAGTAGTCTGCTCTCACTTCGATCTATATTCAAGGACAGTATCAACAAAACCCTCCTCTGATCCAGCACCTTAAGCCATATAAGATGATAGCTCTGCCATTAAGCGGCTTTCAGTCCTAACAAGTTAATTCTCCCTGAGCACCTCTTGCTCATTAAAGGGCCAACAATCTGTGACTTGAGGGCATGGGAGAATTGAGGAGAACTGTTACCAAATTATAGAAGAGTTTAAGATGTCATAAAATGTTCTAAAGCCCAATTCTATTCTTGAAAAAGAGTTTGGGGAATTCTAATTATTCAAATTTTCTCTATACCAACCAAATCATGACAACTGGAACTTAACAAGCTAATAGCCAGGAGGAGACGTACCTTCTTGAAAGACAGCTCAGCCTGGTCTGAAGTGGAATAGTTGACCCAACCCTTAAACTTCTCTTTGACTTCTTTAAACAGGCTGTCCATACAGTCCTGGAGGAAGTGGTGGTAGTTAGCGGATTCATCATTACTTAGGCGTCCCAATGCTTCCAGGGTGAGGGGCTTCAGCTCTTGTTCGGTGTAGGAATTCCGACATCGACTCATTTCTTCAGGTACCTGTAAGAAGCACAAGAGAAAATGAAAAGAGTCCACTTCCTCTCTCAACGCTGGCTGCCAGTCCTTCTGTTTCCAATGGATGGGAGTGTTCCTACCAGCCTCCTACTGTGGAGGAGTATTGTGAAGGTAGACAGGCCAACTTCACAATATCACAGAAAGTTACTCAGGTAAGGTATTAGTCTTTGAAATGTTTCAGTAGGAAGAAGAGTGTCTAAAACAGGATTCACACTGGTCAAGGAAGGTGTCCCAGACAGTGCATTTTAGTTTTCGTTAACTTGTTGTTTTTGCTTTTTAAGCCATGTAAACGTTGCATGTAAACATTCAAACATATTACATTCTAATTAGTTTGTACAATAACCAAAACCAAACTAAATTCATTGCCACCTGAATTGTTTCTGACTCACTGGCAACCCTCTACTACATTTCCAAGACTGTCAGTTGTCACAGGATTGAAATGGCCCATCTTTCTCGAGCAGAGCAGCTGGTGGGTTTATTTAGCTAACAGCCAAACATAAAACTCATTTATGCCACCAGGGGTCCCAGTGTATAAAAAAATAGCAAATTAAATGCAGTTTAGTACATACATAACCCACATGTGTTCTCTATCTATATTATATATATATATGTTTTAGAAATGTCTATGATAAAACCCAGCTCATTGTCACTGAGCTGGAAGTGGCTCACAGTTGACCCTCTAGTGGGTGTTCGGAGGTTATAACCTGCACAGAGGGAATCATCCACCTCTCTACGATGGTGCCACTGGTAGATTCCAACCACCAGAAGACTGCCTTTGGGTCAGCAGTGCAACTCTCCACATGCCCAGCTACCAGAGATCCCTTAATTCTAAGTAGTTTATACAATATAATCTATATAAAGTTGGAACTTTCTGGCTATATACATAATCTCCAGCTGCAGAAAAGATCTTTTTCCTAATACGGAACAATACCCGAGCCTAAGCAGCTGACTCCACACCCATGATCCTCCCACAAAGAAGCCGCGGCCCTGCCTCACCTGGAAGAGCTTCTTGCACTCCGCGATCATATGGGCCAAGCCTTGCGTGGCAGCCAGGTTTTCATTCAAATCTTTCTGATCTGGTTTGCCTAAACTCTGCTTTCTTTGCATCACCCTAGGTAGAAGGATGAGGGGAGGAAAGAATGAAATAGCTACATATTTTTAAATCAGTGTGGGGTTTTAGAGACAAACATTTCACTGGAGCCAGTTTGCTCTTAAATCGTTTAACAGAATTTTACTTTGCTCACAAGCATTTCATGAAACTCACACACAAAACCATTAAAGAAATTGTTCTTCATGAAATTCTGCCTATTTAAAACCAACTGTGTGAACCAGCTTTTTATTTTCCAAAGGGCAGTGTGTAAGGTCCGTGTGTGGTGGTGGGGAGGAGGAGGGTGGCCTCAGAGGAGTGTATGGGAGGGAGTGGGGGGGCGGGCATTGGAAGTTGAGGTAAATAGTGTCACTATTCTCTGTTTACATAAGCAGATCTTCTCCCCAAAGGTAAGGAATAATTCTATTGTTTCCTAGAGATTCTATCTTAGTCTTATCTGATCTTTCCCTTCCACACATTCTATTTCTCGATCACATTAAAGCTGGGATGTCTCAGCAGATGTTCAGATGCAGTTTAAAAGAGTGTTTAAGTATTGTATGGCTTTCAGAAGCAAAGCTAACTTCAATTAGCACACCTAGATCTCATTCCTCTAAGAAAAATTTTCACGTTCCTTTGGACAGCTTGATGGATTCAGGATGGGGGGCTTATATCCAGTTACCAAAAAAAACAAACCCACTCCTGTTCAGCTGATCCCAATTCAAAGTAATCTTCCACTGGGTTTCTGAGGCTATAAACCTTTATGGGAAGAGAATGCCTTTTTCTCCTTCAGAGCAGCAGGTGGATTTGAACCATCAACCTTATAGTCAGTAGGCCGATATATTACGCTCTGTGCACTGATTCCTTTTTCACATAACCCAGTGCTATTAGCTACGGTGAGATGCCTCCTGATTCATGACAACTCCAAGTACAATGGAAAGAGACAGTGTTGGTTTGGGGTTGGGGAGCAAATCACCAGGCCTTTCTCCCTCAAAAGTCAAAGTTACTGACATGGAATTGGAACTGACTCATAGCTGACCCTGCCATGGGTTTCTGAGGCTGAAAATCACATAGGAGGAGATTGGCCATCTTTCCCCTTTGGAGCTGATGGGTTCAAACTGCCAGAGAAACCTCGGGTTCGCAACACAAGTCCTTATGGACTATACAGCATCAAGTCTGTCTTGTTCTAGAAAACCTGATGAAATCTTTCAGCATCACAGCAAAACACAAGCCTCCTGCAACAGACAGATGGCGGCTTTGTGTGAGGTGCACTGGTTGAGACCAGAGCCTCAGGGCCCTGCATGGACTGTAAGAATATCACCATTGCTCCAACATCTCCAACGTCTTTCTACTCAGGTAAGTAAGAGAGTCACACTGGTGGTGCCTTATCTTGTCAGATAGAAGGACTGGTTCCTTAACTAATCTCCTAGTTGCACTTTCCTCATATGCTAAGTAGACACTACTAGTATTTCATCTGCTTTCGCTATTAGAAGGATGAGGTAACAAACAGAAGAGCCTCGTTCTGTGAACTGTGTACAGACCACATACTTTATAAATCATCAGCCTTGTTACTTTACAGATAACCATGATGCGTTACACTTGTGCACATGTGAAAATCTAGTCATTAGTTTCACAAACAACTTGGAGAGGTCAATTTGGGACATTTCTTTACAACTTCCAACACTGAGCCGAGAAGTCTGGCTTGAGTGACATGCAGAGGGCACAGCAACGGGGGCCTAGTCACCCTTCTTGTTTTTTAGGTCAGTAAGTGGCAAAATGCTTTGTTGTCAGGCAGTATAAAGGCGATGGTAGACGGGCCTTGGAAGATACTAAGGAGCATAAGAGTCAACACTCGCCCCTGAAAAATGTGGCTTCAAATATCTCCCAACCTGGTGGTTAACTAGCTAGTCTAGAGACTACTGCTTCTGGACTGAGTGGGGAAGAACGAGAAGTGCAGGAGCAGTGGTACGCCGGGTGGGATGAAAGAAGGGGCTCTAACTCTCAGTCAGGAGCGGACACAGTCCCACCAGAACACAGCGCTGGTCCCAGAACAGACACAGGCTGCCTCAGCTCAATGAGCGGAGAGTCGTACACACCTCATTGATCCGTACCTGGGGGAAGAATTCTCCCTCTTGAGGGTGTTGAGATGGAACAGGGAGGGCGCTAAGCACACAGCAAGGTTGGTTGGTGTCATCTGGTTTTCTTTTACAGCAGCTGTGACATCACTCAAGAAATAAAGCAGGGTCTGCAGAACCTCTCGGTTCTCATCCGGCAGCAGCATAATGGCGGCCTTGATCGCCTGGAGACACTGGTCCTTGGGCACATCTGCACAACACAGGCATTTCCCCATCAGCTCAGTGATTTTCCATCAACATCGCAAGGAAATGTCCCAAAGCAAATATCAGCTTCAAATACCTCAGCCCAGCACTGAACAAGCACTTGCAGAAAGTGTACTGAAGGTTAATACGCAAGAAATTATGGATCGCCACCAGCGTCACTACCCTCAAGTATTTCCTGCTGTGCGGAGGAGTTAAAATTTTTAAACACCCACGATGCCAACATACTCTTAAATCCACCTCAAGAGTTCAACTCATGCCTGTGCTTTTATTTACAGAACCATTTTTCTTTTCTGAGCACTTCTTAAGACTCCTAAGTTTACCATTTCCAATTACTGAAAAAACACTATTGATTTTCTTTTTTTGTTGGCTTTAAGAAGAGGTCCTATCTAAGATAAGCACAGAAGGAGAACAGCTGAGATCTCCCAGCCTTGACAAGAAAATATTCCATTTTTGGGGGGACCTTTTATACACTTTTAAGTGATTCGCGCATTCTTGAAATATGAAAAGTTCAGTTGCTAAAATATTCAGCCAATTTAAATAAGAGGTACATATAATCCATTTCTTAAATTTTAGAAAGTATACTCTGAGAAGCTATTATATAAAGACATTCTTGCGAAATGAACCTAAAAAGTAACACATATATAGGAAATGCTGAACCTAACTTTAAGGGTTTCTTTACTAGGCAAATCTTTTAAAAAGCATGTGGTGGAAAAATCAAGTCACTCAAAGGCAGTCCATAGGACCAAATGATTAAACAGCTCCATGGTTACAATACATAACAAATACCTTGGTGAGGAAAATCTGACCTGTGTTTTCATAAAATATGAAAGGATGAAACAAATAATGAAATAATCCAGACCAGCTCCATTTCTCATAAAATAAAGTCCAATGTGCCACTCTGAAAGACAATTTGAGCCCTAAGAGAGGCTGCTTTTAAATTACACTGCTATAATAACACCCAAAGCCAAGAAAAACACAAGGGTCTAAAGTTATGATCCTGATCTTGATCATTAATTTGGACAAGTGTTTGCTTTAAGTTTCACTTAAAAGTGAGAAGGGCATGGGGTATTGTTTTCCCAAGAATTTCTGGGAGCCGCTGAGATGAACAACAGAAAAAAAAAAGAGTATTCATTTTTCAACAAGATAAATAACACTTTAAACACAACAGCCCTAGTAGAGAGATGTCCAGTAACCAAAATGCCGACAGACTGAGATCTTGGAACCTGTCCATTTTAAGCACCCAGGATAACATGGATCTAAGAACTAATGAAGGAACTCACTCTTGGTTCTGAAAATAAACACGAACAACTGCTTAAGGAATTACAGACCAATAGGAAATGGACTTTTGCCATTTCACTAAGTATGCAGATGTCGGTTCCTCAAGCAAAGAGGTTCCAAGGCAGAAATTAATGACACATGTTCCCAAGAGGTCACCATGAGGTTCCAAAAGGATGACATCAAAGGAGGCTACAAGCTTCAAATGGTCCCATGTTTCTCCCAAAGACAACAGTCCCGAGATCAAAGGACACTTACACTGGTAGATCTGTAAAAAGGTTTCTGAGAGTTTGTTTGTCATCAGGGGCTCAGGAAGATCTCGAAAATACTGCTTTAACATGTCTGCCACATCGTAAGCTGACTGCCCCTCATAGTTGACAAAATCCACCGCAGTTTCGTTCATCTGGCGAAGAGCCTGAATTCGGGATTTGACCCCAGATTTTCTGAAGAGCCCAACCTGTTTATAAAGAAAAGATGACTATGAGTGCAGAAGCACCACGGTCAGTACTCAGCTATATCCAAAGCGGCTCACGCCTGGACTCCCTTGATGTGTCCAGGGAGTGAATGCCTACCTGGTCCAGACAATGGTTGCGGAGATAGCGCATGGCCTGCTGAATGCTCTGTGGGAGGGGCTGTCCTGTGCGTTGCACATTGACTGTCAGAGGGACCCCAAACACACTTCGGTCCTTGTAGTCTGGAACTTTGATCCTTTTCATGAACTTGGGCACAGCCCTATTTAAAAGAATACAGGTAGGAGAGAAATAAACTCATTTGTCAATCTTGCCAGACAAATACTGGAAATTCCAGATGTACTGATACAGAGACAATTTAAGTTTACATAAACTACAATTTCAGATGGTGGTGATGATAGTGAGACAACATGATGCCCATAATCTCTCACACTGAACACTAGCAACTGGTTTGTTCTACTGTTAAGAAACAGCACTGCGGTTCCAAAAGCATGCAGTTCAAATCCACCAGCTGTTCTACAGGAGGGAAATCTGTGCAACTGCCTCTGAAAACCTGATGGAGGGTCAGGTACAAGTCAGCTCTGACTGAAAGGCACACAACCACCAATCACAGTAGAGCAATCAAAAAAAAAGTTACAAATTCAATTCCTCTTCTGCACTAGTCACATTAAGTGCTTACTAGTCAACTGTAGCTAGTAACTACACTCAGTCACTGCACTGAGTTGGAACCAACTCACTGCTCACCCTACATTGGGTTTCTGTGGCTGGAAACAGAACAAGTAGAGATTATTCATCTTTCTCCAGAGGGGTGCCTGGTGGATTTGAAGTGCCAGAGTATTGTGGCCTTTAGCTTAGCAGCAAAACTCCCTGTGGATGGCGCCACCAAAGCTTCCCTACACACTGGGCTGCACAAATACAGAGTGTTTCTCCCATCACTAAAAGCTGTATTGGGCAGTACCAGTCTACTGCTGGGGCTGTAAAGGCCAGGACCTTAACTCAGATGGAGACTGTCCGTCCACTCTTAACCCTGGGGCACAGTGCATTATGTATCAGAGGGAAAACTGAAAAGTCAGTTGTTCCAATTCACTAGGGGATCGGAGGGAGAAAGATGGGCAGTCTCTCCCCTTGAAGGTTTACAGCTCCAAAAATCCAATATAGGGCTATAATGAGTCAGAACGGATTTGATAGCAATGAGTGGCTTAACCACAAAAACTGGGGTCTAAATTCTTAAGAGAGCTTGAAGGACTTCATTAAAAAAATGGTGGCAGAGGAAGAAAAAGAGGCAGAGAATAACAGTATCATATTCTCTAGCTGCTTCACTGTGGGATTTGATAAGCAAATTCTCATTTGTCCTGAATAAGGAAGGACAAGCATCATTTTTATGTCCTGATGAGATTCGAGGCACTTCGAGTGCAAAGGATGAGGTAGAATGGATTGGGAGAACAGCTATTACATGATGTTAGTCTAATGTATTAAGAACCGAACTCCAGAGCTCCATGGTGGGGGTCAAGCTGAATGACCTGAAGTCCAAATAAATTCCCTGCTGATGACCCTGGAGAATATAACATCTTTAGAGACTGTGAGGGAAGATGGAAAAGGGAACAATGGGGTTTTTGTTACTCCATTCCAGGCTCCCTAGAGTCCTGCAGCCAGGTCCACCCCCCAGTTTTATAGGCAGCAGCAAGAAACCCATGTCATGCATTTAAGGCTGTCAAACAGATCTCCGCTCCACAAATGACCTTTCTGAATGGGACACAAGAGGGCAAGGCCAACAGGAAAAGAACTCCGGGTAGAATTTCTCCTTACGCTGTGGATCCCACAAAGCAGGGCTTTTACGTTTGGGTTTGACTCCCTGGAAAAACTGACCAGAACTCAGGACTTTTCAGATTCTTGAGGGTTTGGTGGGAAGGGGGGAGGGGCGACACTGAGAGGAGAATCTGAAATATGCAGTTTTAAATAGCCAGCAGGGAAAATATTACGCTCCAGCACAGAGGAACCCTGGAGAAGACAGACCACTGTGACTCCACAGTGCTTACCAACAGCCACAACGCGTTACTGTTTATAGCTCCAGGAAAGGTAAAACTAAGAGCAGAGTCAAATGTGTATTTCCATACAGTTAAGTATACGGTATCACAGCTATAAGTGTGCATAATACTCGCTTTGTCGAGGAGAAAAGCCCCAAGGCAGAATGTGGAAAGAACACATTACGATCTCCACCGAGAATCTGAAGCATGTGGGGATAAACTGGTCAATACTTATTTCTGTCATTCAGAACAAACAACTTCTGTATTTAGCAAGGCTCACATAATAACAGCCTTTGAACAGGAGGCGCTTTGATGCTGGAGTTAAACTCACTGGAGTCCTGAGGAAAGGAGGAGCCGGGGGAAGAGAGAGCAGCTATGCTGCTTCACCTACTCATGTTGGGCTTGTAGTGTGCTACAGATGCTACTGATGCCCCAGGCCATTTCTCCACCTTCAGAAAGTGGAGAGGTTGTACAACTAACATTCAGATCAGCAGAAAGAGTTAAGGATACCGGATCAATAGTGGAAAATGCACTGTGATGTCACTCTGCAAATATGTCTCTACTTTACACTGTTACTAGAAAACTGAAGACATGCACTTGTCATATCTGGGGCTCATGCAGCCTACCATCTACAGCTGACATGTACATGAAGGGCCAAATCGTGATGACCACAGGAATTATGAACAAGTCAGCTTTTTAAAGATGATGTTGTTATGTGTTGTCAAGTCTGCACTGACTCACAGCTGACCCTTCAGTGGGTTTTCAGAGGCTTTAAATCACATGAGGAGAGTGAAGCAGCTGGTAGATTAGAACTAGATAGCTCTGAGTTGTCAGCACAGCTCCTTACTACTAGGCCAACAGAGTTCCCTTGGTTAGTTAACGATAACAGCTTCAGGTAATAAATTCCCTACATTTGTCACTCACTGTTTGAGAGTCTTTGCTGGGGAAAAACAACAACAATGAAATAACCTAAACTAGTTAGCACAGGTGGATTTTTTTTTTTAGTTTCCATAAATATTCATATAAAAAATGATTTATAAAACATATATGAGTAAAGTTATGAGACACTGTACATCAAGCATTTCATAGGCAGCTTCTTTTCACTCCCTCTATCCAAACTCAATTTCTAGCTAAGCATCAAAGATGAGATATTTGAGAGGTGTACTTTCTTTTTTTAAAAAAAATTCTACATAATATCCATTTAAAGAGTAATGGTGCTAATTTAAAGGGTAAGGTGATTCAAGCCATATTTTTCAATTGACTCATGCATCTGAGAGTCGAGATAGTGACTAAGGATTACAAAGGAGGAATCGAAGTCTTTAAATTATAGCATTGAAGAGTGCTGACTATCTAATAGACTAGCAAAAGAACAAGGCTATCTGCCTTGGAAGACGTGCAATCAGAGTGCTTGCTCTGCAGATTTAAGGATGGTAAAACTTCATCTCCCATACTTTGGGGATGTTGTCAGGAGGAAAAAAATCCTTGGAAAAAGACATGCTGGGAAAGGTGGAGGGTCACAGAAAAAGAAGACCCTCAACAAGATGGACTGGAGAGTGACTGTACCAGTGGGCTTGAGCCCAACATGACAAGAATGGTGAGTGACAGGGCAAGGTTCAAATCTGTTCTTCATAGAGTGGCTGTCACGAATAGTTAACCTGATGACACTTAACAACAAAAACAACCTATCATCTGTATTTTGCAAAAATTTTGGGTTTTTTGTCCCCTTTTCCTTGCATCTTGTTATCCCTCCAAGATTGACTATACTTGTGTGTATAAACAGTTTTGCATCTTTTTATATTAGTGATTTATACCCTCATTGTCTTTCTCTAACTGACTGCCAGAATAATCTGTTCTAGTTTCATGCATATTGTTCAGTATTTCACAAATTCTTGACTTTTTCCCTTTGCTCCATTGTGTGAATGTACCATTTTCTTTAGTCATTTGTCCACTGATGGGTATAAGCAGTTTCTTAGTACATCAGAATATTGTTGTTCTTTTCCCTCCTAGTAACAGAATCTGACACTGAATATACCACCTCATCCCATGAGCTATTCTGACCAGTGGGAAGGAAGTCTGTACAAGCTGATAGCAAAGTAATGCAATCTAACCGTAGAAATGGACAAATAGTCATGGTAAGAAGCTGTGCTGCAATCCCAAAGGCACACGGTTCAAATACAATCTATCAGATGCTTTGCAGGAGCAGGACAGGCAATCTCCTCCTCTGTGATTTACTGCCTGTGAAAACTTGATTGAGGGTCAGCTATGGATTGGCTCTGACTTGACAGTATATAACAACAATAATCTTGCTGACAATTACCTAAAGCCAAACTGATTAAAACAGAAACACATACTAGGACCTCAGGAAAAGAGAAACTAATTGCATCTGAATGAAAGACTAGAGGTATTAATAAAGACCAGAACAGACGTTTATCATTGCTTGAGACAGTCTCAAGGAATAAACCCAAAACATGCTTTTCAATCCCTAGGCACCGAGCAGTTTTAACTCTTACCAGCTAAAGCCATGCTTGTTAGAAGGTGTGTACTTCTCCAGTAGGGCAGTTAACTTTAAGAGCGAGTATTTCTGCAGCAGGTTCATCTGGGCCACAGACTGGCAGTTGATCTGCAGGGACACGGAGTTTAAACTTGGTCGATGTGAGCTCTGGAAGCTGTGCCATCTCAGTCTGTGCCTGTGAGGGAAGAGCGGACAGAGTGAGTGTGTACAAAGGCTTCTTAATCAGTAGATGCAAAAAATAGCATCAGCTGGCTTATTTTACCAAGGGGGGAGCTCTATTTCCAGCCCATGTTTCTTGAGTGTTAAGACCTGCTGGCCAGTTACCCTCCTTAGGAGCTTATGTGGTGACAAATGCCATGCTTAATCCCCTTTACTCCTAGAGAATAAGGGGAGGTTCCTTCTGACACCCACCCCCTCCAGTTTGGAGGGAGACCAAAGGTGCTTACCTATTGGACCTTGTCAGGGAAGCCCCGACCCCGGAGTCTCTCCTTTCGGGGATGTCAGAGGGCTCCTCTGGCTCGTTCAGGGAGTTGCCTGTGCTGTCCAAGTCACTGGGTGTGGTGCGGTCATTGTCCACATCCAGGTGGATCTGCTTTGGAGAGGACGGGCAAGGAGAGACAGAGTCCAGGGCGGAGTCGGAGTCTCCCTCATCGGAAAACTTTTCGGACCACTGGTTGACTATCCTCTGCATGCCCTTCACGTGGTAGAGGATGTCATCCAGCTCGGGGAAGATGTCCTCGTTCTCCAGGTCAGCCAGGTCACCTGAACTGGAGTAAAGGATGGAGCCTGGCACGTTGTCGTAGATGCTCAGGCGGCTGCACATGGAACTGGAGGAATTGCGTCTCTTCAGTTCCTTGGGGATGTCGCTGCTGTTTTCTCTTCTGAGGTTGATGTGGCCAGGCCCGTAGAAGCTCCCAGTTCTCCAGTTCACAGTGGTACTGTTCTCTAAGGAAGAGAAATTGCCATTGGAGAGGGCCTTGGGGAAAGTGCCAGGTTTGTGATCTTCGGGGATGTAGAACACCGTGTCCTCTGAGTAGTTCTCTCGGTTTTTGAAGTTCTGTTCAGTGATGTTGTTAAATGTGGACTGACTGAAAGGATCAAAGCCCTCCAAATACATGCCCACTCGCTTATTGCAAGTACTGGGGCTGCGGGTCCTGGTGACAGGGCTGGGGGTGCTGACAGCGCTGCTGGTCTCAGACTGACTGCTGCTACTGCTGGTCTGTGTGGAGTTGGAAACGCTCCTCTTTCGTACCATGGGGACATTTATGTGGTTGCCATTAAGGGCGGAGATCTCCACACAGTTGAGCTGCTTCAGCTTCTCCTCGTCCATGCCCTCCTGCAGGATAGGCCCACTGATGATCAGCCCCAGTTTGGAAGGCGCTTTGTGCTTGCTGTGGTGGGAACCCCGGAGCCTCAGGCTCTCCATCCGCTTCAGCAGACTGCGTGTCTTGGACATGGTGCTTTTCTCGTGGCCTTTCATGCCAAAGCTGAAGCTGGACAGTTCCTTGGGAGAGGGCAGGCTGCAGAAGGAGTCGTCGTTGCCAATGAAGTTGCTAGAGGAGCAGACACTAATGACCGAGTTAGTCCGGGGTGTTGCCACATCCGCGCTGTGGGGCGTGTGGGTGGCAAGACTGCTGGTGCTGCTGAGGCTGCGGACCGAGGACACCTCCTGCTGTTCGCTGAGCTCTGTCAACATGCTTTCATGGCTTGCTGCGTTCTTCAGGTGGGAACTGTCGGGGGACCCAGGTACTGGGTCCTGCTTCGGAGAAAAGACATCAAACTCTTCCAGCCGGGACCACCTCTTGCTATCCCTCTGGAAAGTCCATTTGCCACTTATTGCACAAGGCTCATCCTCATCAGAATCTTCACTCTGCCAAGACAGAATGGAGCCATTCATACACCAAGACCCACAGAGAGCAGGAGCAAGACACGTGCACAGGACCAGACGACTGGGAGTCAGCTCAAAATACACCCAGGGCCCATGCTCCCCTTTGTTATTTTTTAAATAACAAAGATGTATTTAAAATAATCTAACAAGAAAGAATTTAACGTGTTACAATCTAAATAAGAGTTATTTTATGGAAACTTTGGGATCCATAGAATGTTCTTTAACTGCACACAGAGGAAACCTCTAAGATGACTGAAAATTCCAGGCATGCAAAATATTCTGAACTGGAGTCAGCAATGGGTGGGACTCCCTCTGGACTGCCTCCAATTTTGCTGTCTTGATAATATGTGTTTATATTCCCTTCTGCAATTAGAAAGGTAATTTTCAAACAACAAGAAGAGTGGTAACTTAAATCTCTAGCTACTCTAAAAGTTTATAAGATCTTCTAACAGATTAATGGAAATTCTAGACAAAAAAAGCCATCACCTCTTTCCCATTCCAAACTTTTCAGCCTCTTAACTTGTACTTTACCTTCCCCTCCCCCAAGAGATGTGGGGCTGGAGCTTACTGCCACAACTGTCCTGCGAAGTTTCCACCTCAGACATGCTTGGGGGAATTTAACAAGGCTTCACAAATACCCAGTCCTGACAGCACCTAACGTTTGCAGACTAAGTAGTGACTTTGTTCATTATGCCCGACTTACGTGCAGAACTTGGAGTTCTGCTCTAACTAAAACCACTCCAGCCTAGCCTTTGCGCGGGACTCAAAAGTACATTTCTGTAGGATGCATGTCTTTGCCACTGGTGTGGAAAATATCATATGACTCAAGTTTCACAGGACAGTGAGTAGAGATCTTTAAGAGCTGATTTGCAGACTCTTCTACACAGATCAGTGGGTGTTGAGGTTCCAGTCCGTTTGTTTAAAGGTTTGAACTTCCCAAGAAGACAACCTGCTGCAGGTCATGGACTTTCACATAATTAAAAGTTGTTCTCTAAACAGTCAGAAATATCTTCTTTGACCAACCTTATTCCTGTTTACTCTAATCTGTGGCACAACACTCCCAGTACTACACCCACCTCTTCTCCAAGGATCCCATAAAAGATGCTCACATTACATACACAGAAGAAAATAGCATCCAGTGCAGTTATGTGTCACCATCTGACTAGAATGTGTGGGATTCCTGGCCTTCCCCCTCTTCCTTCCTCAATTCCCTTCCTCCCTCTAAATAAATCTCTTCTTATTTTTCAATATCCCACAAGTTGGTCTTTGCTTTTATTTCCACAATTTTAAAATGTAGTTGTGATTGTTATATTTGAGAAGACACACTAGTTCTCAAAGAATCTTAGCTGTATTTTTTGTAAGAAGTGATTTCCTGGCCTTCCTCAAGCTCATCGCCTTAATATGCAGTAAGCATTGCCTTAATTAGGTAAAGTAAGAGATGAAATGTTAAGGTAAAAAACTCCCTGGGACAAACAATTTACTGGCTGGCGGCAACTACTGGTTTCAATTCTCCAAGGTTATGTAGGCTTTTGTAATCTTGAGTGCAACTTTTGAATATATAGATATTTTCGAAGAAGGAAAAGTGTTTGAGCAATAACATTTAAAAAATACATAATCAGGTTTACAGTTTGTCATTTTATACTCACTCTCTTCCGACGAGGACTAATCTCTAGCTTCATCACCGCACATTTGTTTAAAGTATTTAGACGCCTACAGGGCAAAGAAATAATATTAGCAAAGACGGAAAACCACTGAGAGATGAGTAAATAGTTTTTTAAACAATTGCCATTGTTTAAGGAGTTCCTTTGAACTCATTAAATGTATAATTTAGAAAAAATATTATAAATTCTTAAAATAATATCTATGAGGTTTCCTTTCACAGAAATAGAGGTAGCAATCAGGAACTAAACTAGAAATGCCAGCAAAATAAGTAGCATAAAAATTTACCTCAAATCTGTATGCAAATAAAACCCAAAACCATTTTTAGTTATCTGTAATGAGTAAGAATCTAGCCTGTTTAAAAAATGAATTCTTATAAAGAAAACAAAATAGAGCCCTTTTAATATACAATTCTTACAACTCTCCCTTAGAAACTGAGGGTTTATTTTTTTTACCTTAGTCATAGAAATAGCACAATTAACAACTTTAAAACTTTGACTGTTGCAAGCAACAAATGCTGGCGAGGTTGTGGAGAAACTGGAACCCTTATTCACTGTTGGTGGGAGTGTAAAATGGTACAATCACTGTGGAAGGCAGTATGGCACTTTCTCAAAAAGTTGCAAATAGAGATACCATTTGACCCAGCAATTCCACTACTGGGAATATATACCAAAGAGACCATAACTGACATTCAAGCAGATATATGCACACCCATGTTTATCACAGCTCTGTTCACAATAGCAAGGAGTTGGAAACAACCCAGGTGCCCATCAACAAACGAATGGATAGAGAAGCTGTGGTATATTCACACAATGGAATACTACATTGCACTGAAAAACAAGGAACTCACACAATATTTTTCAAAATGGGTGAGCCTAGAGGACATTATGATGAATGAAATATCTCAGTCGCAAAAGGACAAATATTGCATGGTGCCACTGTTGTAGAATGTGATTGATATCAGGGTTGGGGTAAGACTGAGAAAAACTGGATAAATTGTGTATACTGCACTGAAACAGATGAGGGACTGAATAATTTAAAAGCGATGTATGATAGGGTCTTATGGTTATCACAAGAGTCCACAATTAAGGTTGCATAGTGGAATGTACTTGGGGCAGTGGGAGGGGCGTGGGGGGATTGTGTACCAGGGAAGGAGTGTTTCTTTTACTTTTGAAAGAGAGGAGAGAACTGGGAGGGTCGGAGGGGGGGGGGCTGGGGGGGGAGAGAAGTGCAGCAATGAATGAAAATCCAAAATCTCTGTAAATGCTCATTAAAATTATTTTTTAAAAAAACCACCTTTGACTGTTACAGCGCTAAAAAGAAAAATCTTATAGACTTTAGGAGTAAGCACTTCTTTGGAATAAGACTCCTACTTTAATCCTTTAAAATTTTAAATACTTAATTGGGGAAAAAGAAAAAAGTAGTATTAATTTAAAATTAGGGAATAATTTCATTTCATTGTACAGATACTTAACCGATGAATAAGCCAAACAAACAAACAAACAAACAAAATCCTCACTAGGAAGTCAGAAAACAGCTGAGAAGAGAAACTTTCTACTGGACCATATGGTAGAGAAAAATGTGAAAAACAGCTCTTCAGGCCCTAATTCTTTTCAGGAAATCGTAACGTGTTCTTCTCCTTCAACAAGCTCTTACTGTATCTGCACACTGTCCTACGTTGTAGCTCTATTCAGTTCCTTCATCATTCCTTAAATTCTCAGACTTTTACAGAAAAAGAGCAGTGAATTCACAGAAATCAAGCCCATTATGAGACTGCACTTCCAGACTTTATCTTCCCAATACTGTTCTTGCAACTTGTCTGACAACTTTGATACACCAGGATAGATCTTTTTTGCCTGTCTGATAAGAGTGACCTTGAAATCACAGATTACGTGGGTAGCCTGTTTACAGAATAAACAAAGACAAATCCAGGGCATCTATGTTCAGAAAAATTTCTGCTGTTGTTAGGATTTGGTGGGGAGGGGAGAATAAATAAAAAAAGCCCAACACTTTAAAATGAGTGGCTCTAAGGGCCCTCTCTAAGGGACAGCAATTACTTAAACCACTTATATCCATAGTGTTTTAGATTTTCTCAAATGTTTTCAAGATTTCAAGAATCCTTTAAGTTAGTCTTCGGTCTGGATTTCATTAATCAAACCTGTAATCAAATACCCACTTGACTTCATTTGGGCTTTAACGGTCCAGTGGTGTTTATAACCAAATTTACTAGGCATGGAGGCCTATGGGGGTGGGGAGAGGTTTATTTCACAAACTATAGCTTTGAGTCAAAAGGGGGGGGGACCTAAAGGGCCAGTTTTTACAAAGGCCAGCATAATCTTTGTATGCTGGTGGTGGTTGTTACATGCCCTGGAGTTGACTGCAACTCATAGTGACCCTATGTACAACAGTTCTGAACTCTGCTCTATCCTAAGGCAACTTTATTGTCTCACACACCTATCCCATAACCCCAGTCAATGAATCAATCCATCTCATGATATCCCTCTCCAAGGACTGGTCCCTCCTTGTAACATGTCCAAAGTGTGTCCAACAGAGTCTCAGAATCCTTGGCTCCAAAGAACAGCATGGCTTTATCCTCTCCAGTGTTAATCTGTTTGTTTTTCTAGCAGTCCATGGTATGTTTAATACTGTTCTCGAGCACAGCTCAAAGGCATCAATTCCCCTTCTATCACCCCTAGTCATTGTCCAGCTTTCTGATGCAAAGCACGTAACTGTGAAGATCATAGCCTGGATCAGGCACACCTTATTCTCCAGAATGACATCATTGCTCTTCAGTACTCTGACATCAGGCTTTTTCCCAGTGCAATTTGTCTTTTCATTTCCTGACTGCTGGTACCAAGAGTGTTGATTGCAGAGCCAAGCAAACAATCTCAGTCTCTTCACCGTCTATCATGATGTTGCCAGTGGGCCCTGTATTGAGGATCTTTGTTTTCTTGATGTTGAGCTTCAATCCATATTGAAGGTGCTGTCCTTGACCATTTTCAGCAAGTGCTTCAGGTCCTCCTCCATTTCAGCAAGCAGGGTTGTGTCATTTGCATAATACAGGTTGTTGATGAGTCTTTCTCCAGTCCTGTTACCACATTCCTCCTCATGGAGCCCAGCCTCCCAGATGATCTGTTCTGCATACAGATTGAAAAGGTATGCTGGTAGCACCAAGCAAGTGACATTATTAATTTTAAAGTACAGAAGTTACTACTGGAATTTCTATGGTGTTCTTCTGTCCCCTGTAATCTTCAAGGAATTTATTGATGACACCTAACCTTATAGGAGAAGTGTGGCGTCAGGATTGGTGGAAGATTCATCAATAAAATGCGTTATGCAGATGACACAACCCTGCTTGCTGAAACTGAAGAGGACCTGAATAGCTTGCTGTAGAGGGTCAAGGACTGCAGCCTTCAATATGGAATGAGGCTCAATGTTAAGAAGACAAAGATTCTCACCACTGGACCAATTGTCACCATCAGGATGGATAGTGAAGAGATTGAGATTGTTCACAGCTTTAGTTGGCTTGGCTCCACTGTCAACACTCTTGGCACCAGTAGCAAGGATATTATAAAAGACGTATTGCGATGGGAAAGTCTGCTGTTAGGGAAAAATACTGAAGAGCAATGGTGTCTCTCTGGAGACTAAGGTACGTCTAGTACAGGCCATGGTCTTTGCTGTCACTTGTTACGCATCAGAGAGTTGGATGGTGACTAAGGAGGACAGAAGGAGCATTGATGCCTTTGAGCTGTGGTGCTGGAGAAGAGTACTGAGGCTACCATGGACTGCTAGGAAAACAAACAGATTCATCCTGGGAAGAGTTAAACCAGGCAGCTTCCCTGAGGGCAAGGATTCTGAGGCTCCGTCTAACATACTTTGGACATGATGTAGGAGGGTCCTTGGAGAGGGACATCATGCTTGGTAGGGTGGAGGGACAGCGCAGGAGAGGAAGGCCCTCTATGAGGTGGATTGACTCAGTGACTGGGGTAATTGGAATGGGTGTATCAGAGATGGTGAGATTGGCACAGACAGAGCAGAGTTTAGGGCTGTTGTACACAGAGTCGCTATGAGTCGCAAGCGACTCAACGGCACATAACAACAACAACAACAACAGTGCCAACACTTGATTAAAAATACTAGCACAGGATAGGAGAGGGTTCAGATCCACTGTATATAAAGAGGGCCTCTATGAGTTGTATTTGACTTGACAGAATCTAACAACAGAAGAGATTGTTCATTTTGTCTAAAACAGATTAATATCTCATCTTCACAACAACTATATATACACACACATATAAATTTATATATAATCTGATTCTGGTCTTCATAACAGTTCTGATTTATGCACATATATAAATTTATGTCTAGTATCTCATGCTCTACCTCACAACTAGTTAGTTGCCACTGAGTTGGTTCTGACTCTTTCCAACTCCATGGTCAGAGTGTCCCTATGCTGCAGATTGTTTTCAAGTGTTGGATTTATGGAGTGGAAATCACCAGGCCTTTTTCTGAGGCACTTCGGAGTAAAGCCCAACCCCATCCTTGTGATTTGCAGTTGAGCACATTCAAAAGGACTCCCAGATGCTTTCACTGTATAACTGAGGAAATGGGATGTACTTGGAGCGATCATAAATACTGCCCTGGGCCACCTAATGGAAAAGTAGCAACCTAAACACTCAAAAATATCACCTTCTGTATTTACTTTTAATATAAATATTAATAATAGTAACATAATGGAGCAGTTTCTATCGTAAGCATGATTTCTCAGTGAGTAACTGAAACCCTGGAATCTAATCCATCTGTCCAGATGCTTTGGTCATTCCCATTCGCTTCAGGGTCCTCCCAGGGCTCAGCTCAGCAGGAATGAGTCAGTCTTATCTGCTGGGCAACTTGCATCCTGCTCTGGAGAGGGAGGGAGCAGGGTGGGGGCACTATCAAGATTCAAGGGCTTTTTGGCACAGGCTGCAAGCTCTCTGATAAAGGCACAGCAAGAAGAAAACGGAGAAAGGAGAAGAGTAAGGAAGAAAAGGAACTGTTTTCCAAGAAAAATTTGACAACTTATTCCAATTGTTAAAGATAACAATTTGTGTACCTTCCTTTGAAAAAGGGGCTTGTGTCCCTTTCAATAGAAAACAAATGGTAAAGAAACAACTAAACTCAACTATAAGGTAAGTGGTTTTCATAACAGGAATTTCAGGAGCTATTTTACAGCAAAGCATATACTGAAGATCAGAGTATGTGTCCTATCTCCATACCTTTTCAACCTGTATACAGAACACATTATCTGGGAGGCTGAGCTCTATGAGGAGAAGTGTGGCGTCAGGATTGTTGGAAGATCTATCAATGATCTGCGTTACGCAGATGACACAACCCTGCTTGCTCAAACTGAGGAGCTTGCTGAAGAGCTTGCTGCAGAGGGTCAAGGACTGCAGCCTTCAAAATGATTGAGGCTCAATATCAAGAAGACAAAGATTCTCACCACTGGACCAACTGGCAGCATCAGGACGGATGGCGAAGAGACTGAGATTGTTAACAACTTTAGTCTGCTTGGCTCCACAATCAACACTACTGGCAACAGCAGCCAGGAAATTAAAAGACGTATTGCGATGGAAAAGTCTGCTGTTAGGGACCTCTCCCAAGTACTGAAGAGCAATGGTGTCACACTGGAGACTCAGGTGCATCTGATACAGGCCATGGTTGTTTTTGCAATCACTTGTTATGCATCAGAGAGTTGGGCAATGACTAGGGAGGGCAGAAGGAGAACTGATGCCTTTGAGCTGTGGTGCTGGAGAAGAGTATTGAGTGTACCATGAACTGCTAAGAAAACAGATTCATCCTAGAGTGGGTTAAACCAGGCTGCTCCTTGGAGGCAAGGATTCTGGGGCTTCATCTGATATACTTTGAGCATGTTGTAAGGAGGAACTGGTCCTTGGAGAGGGACATCATTCTTGGGAGGGTGGAGGGACAGCACAGGAGGAGAAGACCCTCTATGAGGTAGACTGATTCAGTGACTGGGGTAATCGGGATGGGTGTGTCGGAGGCAGCGTGATTGGCACAAGATAGAGCAGGGTTTAAAGGCTGTTGTACATAGGGTTGCTATGAGTCACAAGCGACTCGATGGAACATAACAATACCACCACCACTAACTTTTCACATAATATTTAGATGTGTTTCTAAAACGTAATGCCATTAAGTTGATTCTGATTCATCTTGACTTTGGAAATGGAGCAGAACTGTCCCCAAGTAGGACTTGTGGAAGCAGACTGTCTCGTCTTTCTCCTGTGGAGAGGCTGGCAGGTTTGAACAGATGGTCTTTTGGTTAGAAGCCAAATGCTTTTCAAGACCATAGGGGCTCCATTATAGGAGGAGTTAATTTTATGTTGTTGTGTATTGTGGAGTTGGAAGTGACCCATGGCTGACCCTTTGGTGGATTTTCGGAAGCAGTAAATCACATAGGAGGAGATTGCCCATCTTCCCCACACACACCTCAGGCCTCCAATCCTTTGCCTTTGGGATTGTAGTACACTTTCTTGTCACTAAGCCATATAGTAGGAGTCAATTTTAATTATTAAGGAAAACAGAAAATGGGATAGTTCTTGAATAAAAAGTTACAGAAAGTCAAAGAACCTTGCATTGAAACAATTTACCCGAGCTCTTTCTAGTAGATAACACATAGTTCACAATATTATCTTACCCGAGCTCTTTCTAGTAGATAACACATAGTTCACAATATTATCTGCTAAAGATGATTCAAGACAAGCTAATCACTCCTGTAGTTTAATACTGAGTAGAACGTCCTCATAATTTTGGCCTTATCATTAGGGTTAGATTACATAGCAAAACTAGCAAGACCAGGACAAAAGCCAATCTAAAGAAACAAGTATCTAAAACTTCTTCTAAGTGTGAATGTGACAATACTGTATTAGCAATCTAAATTGATATAAGAAACCAGTAGTCTTCGAGTTTCAACTTTTGAACTTTTGTTCATTACGGATCTGTTACTTAACACAGTATCTTTCACACACAAAAAAAGCATTAAAATCTACAAATCTTCTGTAGTAACAGAGAAATTAGCAACCACTCCATTTCTAACCAAAGATCTGCAAATGTAACAGGCATATGAATGTTTACAGCAAATTCTTCACTAAACAGAAGGCTAATGTGTATACAGAAACACAACATAAAAATATGACTCAAGAAAGCATGGGGAAAGAACATACAAGATTTTAGAAAATTTTTAAACTTAAGTTTCTGTATCATCACATAGATTTAAAAGCTGTTCAAAATATTTTTCTGAAATATGTATAACTGTTCAAAATACTTCAGCAAGGCAAAGAAAAGATGTTATAAAAAGTCTGTCAGTCTGGAGAGAGCTTACTTGCTAGCCCTTGCATATCACAGACTGGAAGAGTATCTGGTCCAGGCTAGCCTTAGCAAATGAGGAGACAGTCAACCAGCAAAACAAAGATCTCACTTAATTGTAACTACATTTCAAAGGAAAGGGGCAGGAGCCATGCTATATATTGATACCCATTCTTTTCTCAAAAGAGGGAATAATGTTTCATGAAAAGTATATTTCTGTTAGTATGTGGATAAGATCCTTTCCTTGTTTTTGCTATAAATGAGTTGATACAATGTGTCTTATGATTTCACAAGTTGTCTGTTTTGTTTTGTGTTTTTTTAAAGGCAACATCAGGCACTCTGTCATGACTCCTTCTATTATTTTCTTTTTACAAGTAACCTATGAAAACTCTCAGAACTGGAGAAATATTATTCTATGTGTAAAAGAGAAAAATTAAATTCAACCAGAAAATGTTGCTGAGTCTGAACACACATCAAGTTCCAGTTTCTTTTACGGTAAAATGCTCATCAAGAAGCCACCGAACTTTTCGAACAGGACTTGCAGCCCATGTAAATCACAGCATGCAGACGTCTCTTCCTACTGGCCAAATTTGTATTGCATATCATGCTCTATACAACAGGGAAACTGGACCTTCAAATTCAAATTTAGGAATGAGAAGGGAAAAAAAGTAAAAACTTAACCATGACACCTTGGGCTGAAATGCTGCAGCAATATTTTTACAATCCACGCATTCCTAAGCAGTTGCAGCTGTTTAGACGGTCCACTTAGTAGTTCAAAATGTGTGAAATGGATGATTTGACGCAATACTTAAATATTTCCCAAGATACATCTTAGGAGTGACCTCATTTATATGGCTTATCAGCAATGATGAATTGAAAATAATTTGGCCCCACAGCTAAGCACTGAAGCATTTCAAATATGTCTGGGGTAGTTCATATTCCAGATGCTGCCTTCTTCCTCTCTTACATGGCACCAGCGATATTTCTTAATGCCACATGACATAGCTATGCTATGACGCACTATATGCACGCCTTGGAATTAGTTCTCTTCCAGAAATTTTGTATGTATCTCACACATTTCTAAGCAGTCTTTTGATTACACATTAACAGTGACAGTGTTTCGACGGTTAATAAAAAACAAAAACAATAACAAACCAAGCCCCTGCACCTCCAAGTCCATGCTGACTCATGCAGCCCTCCAGCAGGATTCAAGGCAACGAGAAAGACTCCTCCTTTCCCCTCAGTGCAGCTTGGAGAGCAGTCCAATATTTAACTAACTGCACCATCAGGTTAGTATACTTTTTCTTTTACAAAGAAAAACACATTTCTTTTCCTTTTCTTCTAAAAATACTTTAGTTTTGCTTTAATATATAACCATGAGAACAAGTTTATTCCACATAACAAACTAAAACAAAAAGCACAACTTTTACAGAGCTACTTTGTCTATTACAAAGAAATATTGCCTACCATTTCCCCTTGATGATGTATTTAACAAGTTAAACAGAGAAATGAAAATGAAATTTATTTTAATTTCAACATCAAATCAAAACATGAATTTTATCAGTTCATGTTCTCCTGCCCTCCTCAAATGCATGCCCAAATTTAACTCTCATGGTTTTGAGCTTCTGAAGGAAATGACAAAATATGAGCAACTTAAAATGAATAAAACTGTCACCACCACTTTGAAAGGATTACCAGTATCTCAGGAGTGTTTGCTCCCGTTTTATTACTTCTGCTTCACTAAAACCTGCCAGGGGAGGATCTGCCTCTGCCTGAGAGCCACAGTACAAGGAACAAGGATCTGAGAGCTTTATTCACAAGTTCCCATCAGTGCTCAGCCACTGTCTGTCTCCCTTGTGCGACCTATGGCTGCGGCTGCTGCTGCAGTGCTGAGGTATTTTACAGCCATACTTAATCCTATTGTTACCGGCTGGTAACTGAGGAAACAGAACATGCTCAGAGAAGCCTTCTTGTAATGGATCACAATGGTCCTGACTCCAGAATGCCGTGTCCCCCACCTCTAGTTTACTCCTGTGAATGTCTTCATTTCCATCAGGGGAACAGCAGCTTTGGCTATGACTCTTACGGCACCGCGTTTGGCTTGTGCAGCCAATTAGCTTTCTTCTAAAAATAACTCTTTTCCATGTTTTCAAACCTTCTAAAAATGTGTATCATCATATGGTATCAAGTATGTGATGGAACTGTATTGAATACAGGCATCTATGAGTGGTACAAGCAGTTAAGCTCTCAACATTGGAAGGCTGGAGATTGAAATCTACCCATTAGAATCTTGGCTCAGGAGCAGGTCTGTGGTCACAAGAGGGCAAGTGACTGAGTACCTTCCAGGAAAGTGTAAGAGCTATTTCTGATAGCAATATTAAATCACAGGATTTTACTTAAGTTTTAAAAAGACCTCTGATTGATAAGGAAGCAAATAAATGACTATACCCATTTACTAATCAAAACTTGATGTAATCAGAACAAAAGGAAAGCAAAGTCCCCATTATGATAAAAGTACCACATTCTTAAAGCTCCTGGCCCCAACACAATCTCAGTGTTTTAGCATTTACCTGCATAAAGCCTCAATGGCATCTCTGTCCAGAAAATCATGTTCTCTCTTGACCAAGGTAATATCAATGGGAAACAGGAGATCTGTAAAAAAAATAAAGACAAAAACATTTACAGAGAATCTAAGTTCTTGCTCAACTAATTCAATTTATCAGAAGGGGGTTAAATAAAGAAAACTTACAGTCTACTACGTGCAGGGCACCTTATTCCCTAACAAGTGCTACAGGAAAGTAGAAAGAAGTATAACATATTCCATATTAATATCCAACAAGAATTCAGAATCTCCAAGTATCTGGAGATTCACATACTGTTTCTTGTCAAAAAGAAGTCATTCAAAACACAGTTTCATCTTTAAACAAACCATGAAATGCTAAACCTTCACAGCTAGAAATTATAACTTAAGTCAGAATATATACTGTAAAGATACCCTCTTTGGATATGGCTGTTTGCTGATTCCCTCCTCCATCTGTGTGTCTCTGATCACATGTGATCAGGGTCACTGAAAAACTAGGCCAAGGAAAAAAATCAAGGGAACAATAGGAAAGGTAGAAAACAGAATCAAATCTATTTGCTTGATATCAAGAGTTAACAAATTCAAGATACCGAATTTTAAAGCAAATATTAACACTTCAATATGGCTTCTCAGAAGCATACAAAATGCAATCTAAAAACAAAGGACTTGCTAGCAAGTTCTTGTAGAACAATAGAAACTCAAATCTCCTAATCTGTACAAGTTTACTATTAGACTACTGAAGAATTCTATCAGAACTGAGAATCAGAAAGGGTTAAGAGTCAACTCAGTGAACGAATCCCCTTTTCTCCACTGCTGAAGGGGACCCCTTGTAGATAAGCATGGCCATCAACGGGAGGAAGGTCTGTAGCAGCACTGTGGAAATTTACAATTCTAAAATAGCCACTACACAAAGGCCAAGATACTACACTCTGGAGTTCCAGCTACTAGAGTAAATAAGGGGCCCTCCCTAGAGAATTTATATACTATAGAGGGTCAGAGCTTTTCTGGAGAACTCTGAGTCAGAAGCAGACAAAGTAATTATGCATATTAAACCACCAGGACTACCATTATCTAAAAACAAACTCCTCCTACCTCTAAAATGGTTAACACTGCATACTGAGAGAGACATGGCTATCAGTTTTGGCAACACACTGGTAATGCTCGAGTTCTCTGCTTGACTAGGGAGTACAAGCTTGTCCATTACGTCTTATGATTCACAGAATAGTAGGGAGTTCCTTATTCCTAGTAATCTACTTCCTAGTCATAATACTCAAACGTCTCTCTACACATCCTGTAAATTATCACCACTAGTCTTAATTTACATACACCTTTTGTGGGGGGGTGTTTTTTTCTGGAAGCTAGAGTTGGAGCTCTGATATCATTCTTTGTATGATATTAAAGATAGGACAATGAACTAGCTGTCAGTCCAAAGATGTATGAAGAAATGTAACATTCAGAATAGTCTGCTCAATTCACTAATTTATAGACCAAGTACATGAGACAAATAGGCTGTTTAAGCAGCAAAAGAGGGTGAACATAGTGATTGGCAATTACTGGTAAAGAGAAGCAAGACAGACTGTAGAGTTGCATGAAGTTTGTGATGACATATTTTATTTTAACCACCCCCAAGAAATCCAAGTGTTAAATAACATTTAATACTATTAGATATCCACAAGATCTGTTAAGTATACATGGGGCAGCAACTGTACGGTTTCCAGAGAATCTCAGCCTCGTGTACTTTAGATGACTTTCTTGAAGCAATTTAACTTCCAAATTCTGCAAATTGGATGCAAACCCCAAGTTTTAGTAGGGATTAGATTCAAATGAAGAATGTAAGAGTCATATTAATAAATTTCACTTGCCTCGTCTCTTTTTCTGAAAGGACTGCCTTTTAAAGATGACAGTTTAGTGATGCAGTGAAGATTTAAACTTCCAGCTTGGATTTAAGGGCAGGAAGTAAAAACTGCCAAGTACTAAAATAAAGCTAAACAGGAAGACAAGGAATGTGTGGGCTGGTGTGCTGGTTGGGGTGTGTGTGTTCACCCTGCACGTAGCGGCAGGATAAAGGGAAGAAGTGACAGACTAGTCCCATAGAGTCTAACGCACACGCAGGCTTACACTGCAAATGACTTCAAATGCAGGGACCCAAAACGTAACCTGTGAAAATGCAGGCAGTATCTAGGATTTGGGAAGAATTAAGGCTCAGCAAACACCTATCACAAGAAAGTGCTGCTTGGCAGCAAACCAACCCCCAAAAAGGACATAATTGAAGGAAATTTAATTCTAAACAGGAGCACAAAAGAGCTGCCAAGCAACTGCCACTGAAAATGCAATTATCTTTTTCTATCTCCAGGAGACCTGTGAATCAAAAATCCAATAGTGTACTGATCCTACCAACCACCTCAAAGCCCTACTAAAGGACAGGCATGCTGAAAGGAAAGGGGTAAAGATCCTCCCCAACAGATCGGAAGGTGAGCAACTCCAACCATCACAGGTATGCAGATCAACCAATCATCTTAATGGTGGAAGAAAGAAGAAGAAAAAAATTAGGATAGTCTCTGAAATGGAGAAACCGGAAGGCATTATTCAGAATTCATCTTCATGGAAAACGATCATATAATCAATCTGAGCAACAATAAGGAAATAAGATCAAGAACTAACTTAGCTGAGAGAGCTAGGGACCTCAAATTATCTCCATGTTCTCAGACGGATTTGGTTCTGAGGAGTACTCACCCACAGCCCCCAAATCTGTCTTCAAAGCAAGTTGATCACATCTACTTCTTTCAGGCTCACAAAGTTGATCCATTCTTAGCACCGGCTCACGGAATTTTGCTCATGTGTTAAAGAAGGTTGCTAATGACCATCGATTGGTAACTGGATAATTAGGGTAAGTGTTTTGGAGACAATGAGACAGGCAGGGCAGGCTTCAGAGCTACTGTGAATAGGGTCACTATGAGTTGCAGGCAACTGGGTAGCACATAACAACAACAACAACAACAACAATGACCACGGAAAGGTCCCAAATGACTACCTATTGCTACTGCTACAGGAGGAAGCTGGCTTCCTGGTATTCTAGAAGAGCATCAGAAGAGAGGACACATTATTAAAGAGTTATGAGTGGTGAGAAGAGGTGAACACTCTTGAGGAAAAGACGTAAGTGATGCCATTTCCATTAGAATTTTGGAACATTTTGTAGTTATGACAACCAGCTGTTCTCCAGGAACTCTTTCTGAGTTAAAAAAAAAAACAAAAAACCCCACTAATTTCTAAATGTAAATCAATGAAAATTATGGCTTCTGGTTTTTTGTGCAACTGTAGCACTTCTTTAAAGGTATTCTCCAAGGTCTATTATAAAACAGGTAGCATCTATCATAGGACTAAACCTTTCTACTGGCACAGAATTAATTCTGCCTCTGGTTGATTAAATAAATGTTTGAGAGATAATTTGTGCCATCTTCTCAGCAGAGTTAAGGAAACAAAGAACACTCATGTTGGAGAGGCTAATTTCTTCCAACTTAGGAATCAATTCATTATTTGTTGGGAGCTCTGGAGGGCCTCTGATTAAGGTACTCAACTACTAACCAAGAGGTCATAAGTTTGAATCCACTAGCTGTATCGGTGGAGAAATGAGGGAGAAGGATGCTTCTTCCTCTGGAAACTCTGAGAGGCAGCTCTACACTGTTTTGCAGGGTAGCTCTGCGTCAACATCAACTTGATGGCAGTGAGTTTGGCCCTGGTTTCACTCAAGCTCTGCTTGAAAGTTACCCATAAAGACAAATAACTAGCTCATTACTGTAAGGTCATTTCTTATGGAATTATACAATCCACCGTCTTTGCATACTGGTCTTGGTTATTGTGTCTTTAAGCGTGACCAGCACCAAAATGTCAACAGAGCAGGAGCAGAAAGGGTAAACAAAGTCTGAAGCCTGTGCCTGCCAAAAAGTTTCTTGCAGAAATTATGCTACTGGAAGCAATATGCACCGGAATTAATTAAGAAAGCCATCATCTTCTAAAATTCCAAAGTTCCACCTTCAACAACAACAACAACATAACAAGGAGTATGTGTGACAAAGGGAAGGAAATAGTCTCTGCAGAAATCTAGATAATGAACAGAAAGAAAAACCACAATGCAGCAATATTAAATTAATACAATAAAAGAAGACACAAAGGGATTTGGAAAATAAACCCCAATGTATTAACAAAACAAGAATAGCAATAGAGATAACCAAATTAAACACACTGTGGTGGAGCAGATCCCAACTTGTAGCAATGCTACTCATGGGCAGAGACAGTGTAAGAAAAAAACAAGAAAGACTTACTGAAGAAGAAAAAAGATTATAGGCTTTAGTACAGATCACACCTTAAAGAACACAGAAATCCTCACAACTGATCCAATAAACAACATAATAAAAAGATGATTGATTTGTGGTATTAATGTTTTACTGTACAAAATGACTTCCCTATCTGTTAATTTACTTTGCTGTGTGGATGGGCGGGTGTATGTGCATATGTGAATGCGGTGTGTTAGCCTAGTCACAAGGGGATTGGTTAGCCTCACCAATTTGTAAGGGGATTGAATGGCTAGTCTCACCACTGAATTGAGTGGATCCGGAAGGAGACAAGGAGAAACGAAGCAAGACAATGTCATGTGTCCTTCAGGACTAGAAATTCTTGTGCCAGCCAACCTAGAGCCTGTAGGAGCAACAACCATAGCAGCCACAGTAGAGAACTAGAGAACCAAGACACGAAAAAGGGTGGACCTTGGGATTGCTATGCCACTGAATCTGAGCTAAGAGGCTTCAGCCCAAGTTTGTTGGAGGACTGTGGCAGGGAGAGACAATACTGACAAGAGTGAGAACTCTGTAACATGGCCTCAAACTGTGAGGCTCAAGGCTCTGGCACCCACAAGCACATTGTAGAAGCTGTCCCGACTGTATTCTGCTACTAATCTGGATGATTACCTATGGTGGATAGTGTTGGTGGGGTTCTCTGACTGATTCAAGTTTGGAAGCAGAAGTGGCAACCAATTCCTAAACCACATGCCTCTAGAAACTATGAACATAGAGAAATGATGACAGTTACAGAACAAAATTTCAGGTCTTTTGTTCTCTGGGTTGCTATGACTCGTGCTCAACTTGACAGCATTTAAGAACAACAACAACAGAAATCTGTACTATAATCTTTTTTACTTCCTCTATATGGTTCCGAGTGAGCTATCACATCAGATTTTGGAACCAGTAAAACAGTAAGACTTGTGTTAGGATGAGTAGAAAGAGGTACAGGAACATGGGAGTCACGTCTGACCTGATGGGGATTGGTTTTGGTGGTGCTGATGTTGTCAAGCACAGCTCCCCTTTGTGAAACCGGTGAAGGTCAGATATGGCTGTCTCCATGTGGCCCTTGCTCTTTTTTCAAACTGTCAAGAATTTCACTTTACTTTGACCCACAATCAAAATCAATGGACATAACAAATCAAACAAAATATTGGGCAAATATACTGTTAAGGATCCCTTTTAACTACTAAAGAGTAAAGATGTCACTTTGAGAACTAAGGTGTTCCTGACTTTTCAATAAATAGCCTGAAATGCACATGAAAGTTAGGCAATGAATAAGGAAGAATGGAAAAGATCGATGCCTTTGAATTATAGTTCTGGTAAAGAATATGGACTCTATCACAGATGACCTAAAGAACAAACAAATCTAACTTCTAAGAGAAATTAATTCAGAATACTTAAAAATATGGAAGGTGAGAATTCAATTCCTACTTTGGGCATCTTGTCAGTAGAAGGCATATCCTGGAGAAAGCTATCATGTCTGGTAAAGAGCAAAGAGAACAAGTGAAAAAGAGAAAGGCGCTCAACAAGGCAGCCTGACATGGTGGCTCCAACAAGCCACATGCACGTCAGGCACTGCGGTGTTGGTGGGATGGTGCAACACTGGTGTTTTCCTTTTGTACCCTGGATCTGTAAGAGTTAGAACTTGAAAGCATTTAACAACAAAATATGCACACACATGTGTATGAACACCTAATATTCTTGTGGTTCTTATAAAACATTGAGTTATATATAACTAATGCATAGTTGGCTCTCCAGGGGATTTTCAGAGGTGGTAAATCACACAGGAGAAGACTATCCATCTTCTTCTAAAACAACAGATGGTTGAATCAAACTGCATGCCTCTGGCAGTGCAACTCCACACAAGTGGTGATCAAAGTTTCTTATATACTTTTTAGTGTCAAGGTCCTAGCTCAAGAAAAAGAGGAAAACCCTCAGCAATACAGGCTGACACAGTGATTGTAACAGGGGCCTCGAGTATGCTGAAGATGAGGGTGATGCACAGAAGGGCAAGGTTCAGACATGTTGTCCATATGGTCACTATGAGTCACAGCTGACTCGATGGCACATCACAATGACAAGCTCTTGTTTAGGTGGTAGAGTCACAGGTGCTTAGTCCAGTAATTTTTCATAAATTATTTAGATAAATGTTTAAATTAAGTAACTGATTATAGACAATCATTGAACCAAATATTATATCAGTAAAAAAAACCTTAACAATAAAAACTGTTCTCCGCTCACCTTCATAAAGCTGTGCATACTGCGGGAAACCCGTCGCCCGGAGCCAATCACAAGCTTCCTTGGCTTCAATTTCTAGAATAAAACACAAAAAGACAAAACTGTTAATCATGAGTATCTTAGCAAGCTTCCCTTTTCTTTAACGAAATCTTTTTTTATCATGTAAGTGCAACAGTGTCTGTAGAAAATAGACTATAAGAAAACAAAACAACTTTTAACGTATCTTTTATATTCCTTACCATCCCCTCAAGCTTTTTTCCTATGCATATAATTGTGTTTCTTTCCTTTATAAGTTTTTAAAAGGACACACCATCAACTAAAAATGAGATCCCCATTTTTTTGGAGTAAAGGCTTTTATATGGTTCTGTGTTATTACAAATGATTATGAAAATAGAGTTTATAATAATAAGAAAGCTGGATGGAATTAAGTAACTAATTTTAAGCTTGGCTAGCCTATCTTGGTTTACTTTTCACTGAAACAAAAAGTCACCAACTACTACATCTGACACCCAGGACTCAACCACAGCAGACCTTCTGACTCCCCACGATACACACAGAGCCCCTGGATGCTGGATGCCTTTCAGTACAAGGAGTATTAATACAGTAGTGCTGTGGCCCACGCTGTCAAAGAAGAGGGCATTAAGTCAATAAATCCCACAATCTTGGCAGGCTGAACTGTGTAATAAAGCTCCTACTACCCTGTGGTTTAGCATCTTATAAATAGTATTGATAAACAGTAAGGCCAAGAGCAACTGACACACCGTGTAAAAACTCACTCAAGCACAAATTTACAATCCTGTTAAAACAGCCTCGCAGAGGAGGTCTTGGGCAAATTAATTAGTTTCTCTGTTGGCACAAAGGATATTCCTTTCAACTCTTCTTCCCACCTTCCTCAGGCCAGCAGTACTTGGTTATGTAAGGCTTTTCACCCATTTATAAATGTCTCAACATTGGTTAATTTAATCCAGATTGAAATCTTCATTAGACATCTCCTCTGAGCCAGATGTGAAGCTGACAGTCAATATGGAGAGGACATACAGACATCTCACTTTTGTCTACCAACTTTATGGTTGAAAGCATTTTCACATGACTATTCATGAGTTCTTTGGCCGTTCTAGAAAGGTAATTAAGAACACTCAAATTCATTAAAGCAAGTAGGACTGTGAAAACCCTTATTAAACATACCAGAGAGAAAAATAAACGATCTTTTAATGAGTTTATTAGTATCCAAACTAAAACAATTACCAAGGTGGAGCAGAAATAAACGACATAGCAAGGCTTATTTTACAAAGCTTGTTAGAGCAGCAATGAATGCACTGTTACTAAACACGAGATTCAGGATTGAAGTGGTGTGAAAGACAAAAGGGATTTAAAATAAAAGAACTTAAAACTCTGAAGTAATTACAACAATGAATGAATGGAAAGCCAAAGTCTCTGTAAACTTAAAAAAGAACAAAAAACAAAAAAACTCTGAATTAAACAAATTTGTCAGATGAGAGTTATCCGAGTTTGAAAATATCCATTTCCTCCAAATGCTTACATCCTTAACTTGTTTGAAAAAGCTAATTCTAAATAAGCAAGACTTTAAATACTGAAATATTTACTTTCTAGAAAACTGTACTGCTAGAAAAACATAAAAGTTCAATATTATACTTCAAAGAATGGGAAAATTCTTTTTCTGTATCCCCAGTGTCCTCTCTCCTCCACTAAGGGTGCATAAAAAGAAAAATGATTGTTCATTTTTGAAAAAACTGTTTAAAGTGACTTCTAAATAGAAGAGATAACTTATTTTCCTCAACAGGTTATTGGCCACTGGGGGTGGGGGAAGAATTGTTAAAATGTAAATGCACTTGCTTTCTTAAGCATTTCCCCAGTAGCTGTAACTGTTAGCTGTGTATGAGTCAATTTCCCACTCATAACTACCGTGTGCATTACAGAAGCCAAAGAGGTTTTTTTGGCTGGTGATATACAATTCTTAATGTTCATCCTTTTTGACTGCATATATCCATACACCAGGTGAGCACACATATACAAGGTTTAATTAAATATAATTCAATGTACATTTTTCCACCTAAGAGCATGTTCTTGAATTTCTTAATCAACAAAAGAAGTTTGTGTCAGGAGGTATAAGAAATAAAACACAGTATTCTTCTAAAATACCATTTCACTTATTTATACAACACATCACAAAATAGTTCACATATGCAGTACTCATCTGTAAAGTGACTACAGGAACATATAATGTCTATTGTCTTGCCATGATCTTTTTGTCCATTTTTTTACTAGTAAACAAATGAAATGCCTTAAAATAGCTAAAAACTTATTTTACAATATGTGTTCAAAAAGTTACTCTTCTTAAGTCCTCTAGGCTGGAAAGAAATGTCATGAACAGTCAAAGGTTTGTGTCTTTAGCTGATAATTAAAAGCTTCAATGGCTATAAAATGTAGGACTTCCACGAACTATCTAGTGCCTTCATCCTTTTCAACATTTCTTTTAGATTTAAAACTATGGGAAATACAGAGGTACATATCTATCTTGCATAAAAGTTTTCTGTAACATGGCAAATGAAAAGTCAATTCTGTTAAAAAAATCAGAATGAAAGAGACATCACACATTTAAAAAAAAAATTAGAGTACTTGCAGACCTCACTCCCATGCCTTTTCCATTAGCAACTGACCAAGAAAATATGTAGCATTCTATGTAGTATTGTTTTATTAAACATTAATGTTTTCATTTAATGTGAGATAAATTTTTATCCAAGTCTTCTTCACCCTATGGCAATGGTTCGGACTCACAGCTGACCCTCCAGCGGGTTTCCAAGGCCTTCTTTCTCGTGAGGAGTGGCTAGTGGATTCAAGCCAGAGAAGCCCCGCCTTTGGATTAGCAAAGCAATTCTGGACCACCATAAAATGATGCCACCAGAATCAGGGAAAAAAGATGCTTTAGTTTCACACCGTGATTCATGCCATTCCTTTCTCTTTTTATCTTGAGGGTCTCCAGCCCTGCCTCTTCACAGAATCCCTCAACACAGCTTTGATCTTATCTCTCCTCACAAACTTCACTGGAGTCCCACTGACTAGAAAATCAAGTCTGAACACCTCTGTGTGGTTTGCAAGGCTGACATACAAACCAACCTAGCTTTTCAGTTCAGCCAAAGTAAACTCCGTGCTCATCTGCTCACATACCGCTGTGATGCCATGACTTCCTTCTTCCAAGATCTCCCTGGCCTGAGATGCCCTCCCTCCCACTCAGGTCAATTTTCTTTCATCTTTCAAGCTCAGCCCAATGCTGCCTTCTCTGTATAGTCTTCTCAGATGCCCCTCTATTCTATACATGGGTGACATCTACTGAATTCTCAGTATCAGCAGTCTGTCTAAGCACTTACTATGTATTAGTCAGTTACTCTTCATATGGATCCTAAAATGTTGCTAGTATCATCTTAGTAGATGCAGATAAGGAAAGGGGTAAGAAAAAGAGTAACGAACTTTCTTGAAAACAAGCTTTCTTCACTTTAGGGGAGAAATTAACTAGAACTAAGAAACTACAAGACTGAGTTCTTCCTTTAACATGTCATAAAGAACAGGAATGTAAAACATATAAAAGGAAATCCTGTACATGCATGACTTCTATCACTCTAACACCACCCCATCTTCATTTTTGGAGGTCTCTGATAGGCTCAAAGGAATTCTTTTCTTTGGTAGATGTGGGTGGCAATGTGAAAACTAGGATGATGATCTTTAAAAAACATTTCCCATCAGGCAAAAATGCCATTAGAATCTAAAAATACAATGAAACTCTTATTCCTGGGTTTTCTCTAAGCAAACAACAGGCAAATGTGTCAAGGCGGAAACAGGAAATTTTTATTGGAAACCGCTTTAGTCATTTTACAAAACTGTTGTGCACCGTGAAATGAATGAGGTCCCAGAGAGCCTTTTTTTGTCTGGCTGGGAATTATTAGGCCATATTTGCACATTTCCTGGCATGATGGGATGACCCTCTTTTCCCCTTAGCCCTCAACAGTTAAACAGAAATTCCCAGTCCGTCATCATTCTGGTGCACTCTGCTGATCTCAGGAAGCTGAGGAGCATTAACCCGCCCAAACAGGGCACAATTCCTCCCCTCTTAGGTTTGAGGTCATCACTGTGAGTCCTCTCGGACTCCTCTGCTTTAACAGTGTGCTGTCAGGTAACAGGCCCAAGTTAAAATGCAAGGAATTAAAACAGATTCAAGAAGATTCACACACCTTCCAGATTCTGTGGCTTCCCAGAGGTAGGGCAGAGAGTAGGCAAAGACTCATCAAGGTAGGGCGGATGCTAAAAGCTATAGACATTTTAACAGACATTAGCTGTGTGATGGCTGATGGGACTTTCTGATCTCACACCTGCCACAGTCACAGGACTTCCTACTCCGCTTACTGATCTCCTGACTACTTCAAAGTGGTGAATTTTTACAGGACTGCCATGCAGCTGGACATGATCGCTGCTGCTTGCTAACAGTACGTTTTCCTTGGCAGGTTGGTTTCCCAGGAAGGTCCCCATGAGACACACCAGGAGACCTCACAGACTTGTAGCAAAAGGAAATCTAGCTCAGTGGCTTCCAACCCTAGATGTTGAGACCTTGCTTTGAGAACAAAGACCAGTTCCACCCCAGATATTTTTGCTCAGTCTACAGGGAGCTGTGTCCTAGTATTTTAAAAGCAGCTTTCCAAGTAATGGAAGGCTAGCCAGGATTGAGAACCACAAAGCGAATAACACTTCTTTGTATTCATTCCTCTCATCAATGCTTCCTCCCTTCTCCCCCCTCCCACTCCTTATCTTAACAGCCTTCCAACAGAATTCTGATCTAAGCCTTGCCCTTCCCTTTTCCAAAATCTACCCTAGTCCAAAGGGCCCTTGAGTTCCTGGGCTGCTTTTTGTAATACGCTTACTTCATTATGTCACTCCTTGTAATGTGCTATCAAGTCATCTGCGACTCACAGCGACCCTATGGACAACAGCTCTGAAGTCTGCCCTGTCCTGAGCCAGTCTCACTGACCCCAACACACCAATCCCCATTGCCCCAGTTACTGTATCAA